AAAAAAAATTCCACCAACATTGAAAAAGAAAGAAAGATGTATCCAGTTGGTGATATTTGATGCACCAAAAATTTGTTCATTTTGATGGAAGAAAAATTCAAAATTCACCGCTTCGTTTCCCCTTCCACGTGGTTCATTATAAATATACACGTGGCACCGCAAATTGCAAACCACAAGACGCAAGCGTTGCAAACAGCAAAGTTGCAGTACTTGAGTAGTATTCTGCAATAAAAACTCCCTCCCTCCTGCTTATTATTAACATTGTTATTTATCTCTTTCTCACTTTCATCAGTCTCTACTCTCTACCGTGTATAGCATAACGTATATTATCAAGACCTACTTGTTGATAAAGTAACAGGTCAGTTCTCTCTCTCTCTCTGTCTCTCTCTGCAAGTACAGTCATTCAGCTGGGTCATAAATGATGCTGTGTTTGGTTTTTGTCCATCCTTTCTCCTTTCCATGCAACAAATGTTATGTTAGAAAAGGATGAAGAGGAGAAGTAGAAAGTAAAAAGTTATGTGTTTTCATCTCAAATCCTTCCTTTCAAACTCTTCACTGCATCTTCATCTTCCTTGCTCCATATTCGTTATATCTTCCTTGGGGATTTATTTACTCAAATGAACTGATCAGTGGCTGTGTCATATATCTTATTTTAGCTTCTCCTCTTAATAAAATTAGAAATTTAACCAAATAAAACTTTACAAAAGCTCTTATTATAAAAATGGTTTTTTTATAATAAAAAATTAAAAGCTCCTAAGTGGAGCTTTTCTTTAAGATTTATGTCGTCATTTGAAGTCTTAATATTTATTTTATAATTTATTCTTATTTTAAAATTTTTATCTTTTAATTTCTTGTAATAACAAATTATTTTATTTTTCCTCCGACAAAATCAGTAGAACAACTCAACAAATAATTTTCAACTTTATTTTTTAAAAAAAAATTAACCTTAGTTTAAAAGTAACTTTTAACATTTCTTGTCAAACAAATTCTAAACATCGATATATATATATATATATATATATATATATATATATATATATATATATATATATATAAGTGAAAAAGACTTATTAGCCTAATGTTTAAGAGTTTGAGTTGAATTGTTGTGGATTATCACTTCATTCATTAATGCACAAATGATAGTCTCTTTTATTTGGAACTCCTATGGTCACATAATAATGATATAAGAGCCTTGATTGATTAGTCTGAATTAGCCAAATATAATTGGCTGGCTTTGTATTTGGATATGGTGATTTGTGTTTGGATTTGGCCCTTGGATATTCAAAGAAGATTTCGTTTAGGGGTGAGTTAGTTAGACACTTGTACGACTCACACTTGATGGTTAGGCTATTAGAAATTCAAGTGTGATAAAGTTTGAAATAGGAAAAAATGGGCTAAACCTAAACTTTAAGGTTTTGATTTTAGATGCGGTTTCAATTAATTTATTATAAGTTATCATTTAGCCCTTTAATACATGAATGGAATATTCTCTATTTTGAGCTTTCATCATAAATTTAATACTTTATAATTTATTATACCTTTTGTTGTCTGAGGTTTTTTTATAACCGATCCTAATTATTTTTTTGAGAAGAATTGAGTTTGCCTGTATCCTCACGGTTTAACTCTTTGAGCCACGAAATTAATCCAGAGTTTGAAACGAGTTGAGGATTGAGGTTTTATGCCCCTTCTCAAGATTATATTTGGTGGAGATCAAATCAAGATTCTTCCTAACAGTACTACTCAGTTTCATTATACCAACTTAGCTATTATGTGAGTGTTTAGTATCTATGCATATCATAATTAAGTGCCAATGTTTTCCAAAAATAACTCTTTATAGTTACCCTTTCGTAGACAAAATAATAGCCATTAATTTCATTATAAACAACTTAAATTGTCTCACATACATAATGTTTTCTGAATAGTGAAAAAGATAAAATTGGAAGCGTCATCATAGAGTATTGTGGTTTTATGGTCACTAAAGAGTGCAGATACACACATTCAAATCAAAGATAAAATAACGAGGGAGAAACTCGGGATCTAGTCTAGTCTATATTGTTTGAGAAACTTTTTTATTTATCGTTACTACTTATGGAGCTGGCTGGGTTGGGCAATATATATATATATATATGTATCTTCTTTTCTTATTGGTCAGATCATATATTTACTGTTATCATTATTGGGTGCGTTACGCCTTTAACTCCTTTACATAATATGATGAACCTTTCTTTCCTGTAAAGAATATCAAAACCCAAGAGTTGAAAATTTGACACATCAGATAAAGAGACTTCAATTCAAAATTAGATTAATCAGTATTATTAGGGCTTAGGATACCCGATGGTATAAAAAAAGGGACAGGATCCGTTTACAAACTTTTTTTGCATTTACATTAATGTAGGATCGGTCTTACACTATGTGATTAATGTAGGACCGGTCCTACATAGTATAGTTTGTAAGAGTTTGTAAACAAAAAAGTTTGTAAATATAACCTGCCCTATAAAAAAATATCAAATGTTTAAAACCTTCTATAAATGGAACAGAGCCAACTAATAGCACGTAAGAATCTCTCTTATGATATTTGGTAGGGGCCATGTTAGTACATGGTCGGTTGGGTGGTGGTGATAAACGTGATCACACTCATGATTCGTGAACGCAGTCTGATTGGCTACATTATTAGGTCATGATTTGTTTGTCTTGATTAGAGTAGGATTTCTATTTTATTTTTATATGTATATTTATTTTCATACTTTATGTGAAAGTTGTAAAGATAGTGCTTTTCAGCGTGCAAAATACTATTTCCCCCCTCCTATGTTGCTTGCTACTATTAGTATTACCGTGTCAAGCATATTAGGCGACATGGAATTTTTTTAAAATAAGAGGGAAAAATTCTGTCCATATATTATTAAAACAAGTAGTCCCCAGGACTATTTTGCTTGTGGAAATTTCAGGAGTATACAGTGAGAAACTAATTTTTTGTGGCTGTCATTTGACTTATTTTTAAAGGGAAGGTCTACATGGAGCATTAATATTTGATTGTTTGAGACTTTTGTCAAGGACATTTGGCGTTACATACTTTTGTTTTGTAAAAAAATTAAATTGCAGGGTCACGTTTAATTTGTGGGTGCAGGTAGAATAAACATATCTTTATAAGGCAACAACCCTATCATCCTGCAATGTTCACCATGTATATGTTTTTGTGCGTTATAACTGTCTCAGCTTGAACATGGGAAAATGTGTATGATAAGGCTATATATGTTGCATTGACATATTTTGGATATATCAAGGGGATCCTTACACATAGGGCGGTGGCCAATTGATGCATGGTAATTATTCTTGCTTGCCATATGTATTCCTTTATCTTGAGCAGTTATTTCATGTGCTAACCATTTTGTAAGCAATTTTTTTTTTTATTTATCCTATCTTAAATGTTACGAAGTGATTACATGAAGTGAGTTTGTTCAAATGGAAAAAATTATAAATGCTACTAAAGTTTCTACAAGAAAATGAATTCTTAGGCATGAAGCCCATGATGTATAACATAACACTGTTCATTCCGACATGATGCACTGTTATGCTGATCGGTTGTTGCACAATTCAAGGAGAGGTGACTAGTTCTATGGTTGGTTGAGGCGTTGGAATTTCAAGTGTGAGCGATAAATTTTTGCCTTGAAATCCGAATGTAACAAAGAAACTTAAAATAAAATTATCAATTATAGTGGTTGTTTAATGTGGGACTTTTTATATAACCCACACACTCTTTTAACTTCTCTCTTCTTTTTTTCTTCCTCAACCCATTTTTTTTTCATAACCCATAGGATGTAAATACATATTTCAACAATTTTTGCTTTGATTTAGAATGTACTAAGGTGAGGGGTTAAAATGATTCTTTATTATTTATTCTAAGATTTTAGATTAAAATATTCTGATGTTGAAATAATTCTTTTTATGGTATTAGAGATTCAAGCTATAGTGAGCAAGTAATTATGAGTTCGATCCTCACAATTTCATTTTATCAATAAATAATTAAATATTAGAATTTTTTAGTACAGATTTTTGGACGAGCATTAGCCTAACCGTCTAAGTATTTGGGTTGAAATTATGTTTTATTATTTGTATATTGATTCATAAAATTCCGTAGAATGATATTGTATTAATTTGAAATTGAGATCGTTGATATTTTTTCTGAAATTCTGGTGTGCTTTATGCCAATTATCCGTGACTGTAAATCGTTTATTATGGTTCAAATTTGAGATGATCATTCTAGTATGCTTTATGCAAGTTTCTGAAATCGTGAGTGAGATGACATTTGTTTTATGGTAATTTGACTTGAATATAATTCTTTAGAACCAGAGGCTGAGATTTAAACGTCTTATCCTATTCATAGTAATTTGAAACTGATCTACGAGTCTAACTGAAGCCAGAAATAGTATAAAAAGAAATCTTTATTTTTATTTTGAAAATTCAAAAGAAAGTGAACATATCCCATAGGAAATATGTTTATCAAAATTTGATATAGTCAAACATTCCCCAGCTGAGGCCATTAAATTATTTACACGTCAATGCATCAGCTATAATCTCTCTGGCTATGCATTAGAAATATGTGAACGACTTCTAATGCATCAACCATTTAAGATTTTGAGGAATTAAACAGCTAGTTCCGTATTTATAGCTGTAGATCCTTTTTCCCACCTTGTTATGTTGGAACATCTACATTGAGCATTGGTTTAAAACGCTGTTTGCAATCAAAATCTCGTTTTTGGCTTATAGTTTACATTCATTTGGTCGCATGGGGCTTTAATTGTGTAGAGCTTGCAGCATAGTAGTAACAACTATGGCTCTAGAATTTTTAACTTGGATAACTAAGATGGTTTGTGATTGTAATTAATTAACTTGGATTTTCTTGCAGATATTCAAAACCCGAGTTTGTCAGTGTGGTTTCACTTGAATTAATTAATTAATTCGGTTGTCAAGTGAATTGAAAGTGAATATTGTGGTTCTTTTCAATGGGATGCTACTGTTCTAAGAATGCTACCTCACCAGGTTATGAGGAACCTGCTGTTCTTGCTGCTGGGACACCTTGTGAGTATTCATCCTTAATTTGGTATATTCTAGGCTTCACAACCATATATGATCCTTCTTGAAGCAAATAGTGGCATTCATGATATAATATATCTTATGATAGGCCAGCACTAATTGATAATTTATTGAGTTTTTATTAAAAATGAGTGAATGATTGATCCATGAGAGAAGGATTTGAGCCTATTAAACATCATCGGTATATAGAATGATTGTTAGTTTGGTGTGTGATGGAAGGATGAGCTGAAAGTTACATCAAATATTTGTATAAAGACTAAGTATCTTTTTCTTTTTTTTTTCTTTTTTTGGTGAAACTAAGTACCTTTTTCACTCCTAAGAATTAGTGTCTAACCCGTTGATAATATGACTACTTACGGTAGCAGAGTCAGGATTTAATTTTAGTCGGGGTCAAAAAATTCGACATATCAAATTATTAAAAAAAATTCATAATTACACAAATCTATTAGGAAAAAGATTTACTTAAAATTTTCAAAGTAATAGGATCGATGTTATTTTAAAAAATAATAGTTATTTATTTAAAATTTAGAATATAATATAAAATAAAATTAGTAAAGAAAGTGCAAATTATATACATATATGAAATTTTCATGTGATTTTTATGCACATTTTCAGGTGATCTTTGATAACTTTATTTAATGTGATGTTAATGAAAGCTTATTTCATGTGATATTAATGAAAATTGATTTCATGTAGTCTTTGTGAATAAATTTTTTTATTTTTTTCATTTTAATTTGATTTGCGCCTACAAACTTTAGTTTGCAACTTGATAGGCCTTACAAGTCGTATTCGATTTTTTTAATTTTTTATAATATTGCGGGCCATAAATCAAGTATTTAATAGGCTAATAGGTCAGTATAGGTTCCAAATATTTTACATAGGCTTAAGCTATCAAAGCCAAAATTTAGTTTAACTTGGCCCATTTATACTTCTAGTCGTGTCCTCTGAAGAATATTAACATAGAAGGACAACGAACTTTACAATTAAAAAGAAACATGGAATTATTAGTGACAAATGTCTAAAATCATTTAAATGACATTGGATCCACATAAATCATTTAATTAGTGTTTAGATATTTTAAGAATACAAAAAAAGAAGAAGTTGTTAATAGATATGTATAAGAAATTTTCATACTCCATATATATACATATATCCTCGTTGATTTTTCTCTTTAACAGTTTCCACTAATTAATAACCAAAATTCACATTCTTGTTGTAAAATAAAATACAAATAACACCAATAAACAATTCAATTCCATTACCAATAGCAACTGTTGCTCTACATTAAAATATTTAAAAAAAAAAGGTAAACGTAAAACAACACTCCATTTTTTCAAAAGAAGTAAAATCAATAACTACAACCACACAAAAAAAAAGTTGTTAATAAAATAAAGGGGGCGAGAATTTCACTCATGTTAGAAACACCCAATAAACAATTATGGTCAGCAAATACAAAGAATTTCACTCTTATAAGGTTCAAAAATATAAATCAATTTTTTTCGCCAACGGACAATATAATTACCAATGCATATTCCAAAAATAGGTATCCGTAAAATCTTGAAGAAAGGAACGAAACATCGTGCCTTGTCGCAGAATGGCTGGATTCCGGGTGGTGAGTGTGAATAAGAAAAAAAGGTTAGAAGAAAACCTCAATTGGAAAAAGATGAAAGAAGAAGAAGAAGAAATTAAGAAGAAAGAAATATGTTATCTAGTCATACACGGAAAGCAGCTCCATATCTTCATCTGTTACCACTGTTACAATTTTAGCTAGGGTCAACTTATAATTTTAGCTATGGCCCAATTATAATTACTTGTATAATTATATACACGAAGGAAAGTTCTCACATTTGGAAATTAGGTTTTTGACTATTCTTTGTGTGCAATAACCCAAAACACAATAGTTCAATGGACCTTCATATTCCATAATTATAGTCTCGTTATTCATTTGGTTTCATGATTGTTACTTTCAAGGGTTAAGTGTTTGTTTTTTTAAAGGACATAAATTGTGTCATTTTAGTTTTTAACACTATGTCTTACCGGTAAGACATAGTTATAACATGAAAAATAGTTTTTTTTTCTCTCTCCACGTCAGCTGAAGTGACTAAGGAAATAGAAATTTTTTTTTCATATTATAACTATGTTTTACAGGTAAGATATAGTGTCAAAAACTAAAAGAATACAACCTTGTGTCTTTTAAAAGGACAAACCCTTTTTCCTACTTTTAAATGTGTTTATTTGGTTTAATTGAGCCCATATTTTGAAATAGGTCAACTAATCATTTTTGTGATTAAGTTTATAAGTTTTTTTTTTTAAATAATAGGAGTAAGAATAAATAACATAACTGATTAGAATAAAACAGGAAAAAATATACAGGATAAAAAATAAAAATAAAAAGGTAAAACACAAAAATAGCCATACTATACATGTTCCTTATTATTTGTTTGCATTTAGATGATTTGTTGTTACTTTGTATTGAGTATTTGATTTTCTATTTAGGTGGTGCCAAATTATAATTTTTACCTTAGTTAATTATAATTAATTATATAATAAGTTAAAAAAAAAACAAGCAGTTGCCTTGGCCCCTGCTGGCTTGCCACTGACTACTTAATTGCTTACAAACTATCTTACACGATTTTAGAACCCAAATTCATTAAGTATGCAGTATGGATTAAAGGTTTTTCCTTTTGGTCAAGAAAATTCAGGTTTTTTTTTTAATGTTGTTAAAATTGGAACCAGTTAGCATAGGGCGTTTGTAGATCAAGTATTAAGCTTTAGATTGACACCAAACTTGCATTGAATTGTGGCCTATACAGAGAGAATTTCATGTTTGAATTTTTTGATTTGAACCTTGGGTTTTCAAATAGGCAATTGACTCAATTTACATGTTAGTGTTATATAATATTATATGGCCTTTTAGTTGCTTAAAATTCCATCCCTGGATTCAATTTAGTGAACTACTTAATATACTTCTAAGGTTGGATAAATTGAATACTTTGTGTCACACATAAAACATTAACAGATGACTTTGACAAGAGGTAAGTTATTGGACTCTGTAATCAAAAGTCAAAAACTATAGTTTTGCAGAACAATGTTACAGAACTCACAATTGGGATAATTGTAGATTCCAACTCTGATTTATTGTTTCTGACAAAACCAGACAAATTAAAATGCAATAGAATGTGAATACATGGCTAAATATGCCTTCCGGTTATGCTTTCTCATGTGCTATTACACAATGTTTGAGTGTACATAAATGCATGTGTCCAGTTAGTTCCTATTGATAAACTAACTCACTAATAATACATTGATTTTCCATTTTCTTTTAATAATTTCACTCAACACACTCTTAAGGTAATAATAATGATTTATGACACATGATTGAAAGAAAATTGTATTTTCCTTTCCTTCTTTACAGTTACAGTGAGTGAAGTAGAGGCCTTATATGAGCTCTATAACAAGTTAAGCAATTCAGTTATTAAAGATGGTCTTATTCACAAGGTGAGGTGACGTTTCAGATTACTATAAGTTTGATACTTAATCTCTATTAGATAATTAACCTTTTAGATCATCATATATACATGCAGGAAGAATTTCAGCTGGCACTCTTCAGGAACAAAAACATGAGTAATCTGTTCGCAGACAGGGTGTGTTAATCTGACCCTTTTTTGTAATTTAGAATTGCTTAATCTCGTTCATATTCTTGGAGACTGAGTTATAATTAACTTACCTGAAGTTAATTATAACTTTATTTAGCTAATATGTCATCTTTTAGACACTAACAATCATAAAGTTACTTACTAGGAAATGGTAACATAAAATGAAACTAGCTTCTTTCACTTTGTTTTTGGCATGTCAAAATACCTGTAGTACTATCTCATACTAATGCATATTCAGATTTGTGCCTCATTTACAGATTTTTGATTTATTTGATGTCAAGCGCAATGGGGTCATTGAGTTTGGAGAATTTGTTCGATCATTGGGTACTTTTCACCCAAATGCACCTGTAGAAGACAAGATTGATTGTAAGATTAATTCTCCTAGATAAGGATTTCATGTTAATTTTTTATTTTCAGTTTCCTTTATTATGTAGTCTATCTGAGAGAATTATATGTATTAGTTATTTATATTTGATTGCACAAATGATTATTAGTCACCTCCTACGAGATACTTTGGCTTCTATTAAGTTGGGGATAATGATTTTGCAGTTACTTTTAGGTTGTATGATCTGAGGCAAACTGGATATATTGAACGAGAGGAGGTATGATTTTCTTCAATTTCCTTTTCCAATGACAACTGCAATAGTTTAAGGGAAAACTATTTATCATTGATATAAGCTTATGTCCTTTCATTTTCTTATAACTATGTATTCCGAAAAATATATAGTTATAATATTAAAGTTATTTTTTTTCTCTCTTCAAAAACTTGTCAGCATGTGGAGAGAAAAAAAATAACTTTTATATTATAACTGTACTTCCCCGAGTACATAGTTATAAAGAGTGAAATGACATAAACTTATATTCATCAAAATAACATAAGTTTGTATATCCTTTAAAAGAACACACACTAAACTCATAGTTTAATATTGATCTAGTGTCATTGTAAACTTCTGTTATTGTCACATCAACTTGATCTAATCATATTAATTGTTGGAACTTCTGATTGGATAAAAGAGTATAAATATTAGTCAGGATAATGCATCAAAATTAAATTAATCCTAACAAATTAACTTCTGCTGATTTTTCTTGTTTCTACATTTGAAATATGCTCACATGAATATTTTTATCTATTAATATGGTGTTTTGGTTCTTCCTTTCTTATGCGTGTACGTGCTCGCTCATTATATTCTTATATCTAGGTTTTACTTCCCTTGCTTTACACTAATAGTTTATCTGCAGTTGAAGGAGATGGTACTTGCACTTTTGCACGAGTCAGAGCTTGTACTTTCAGATGATGTTGTTGAAACCATTGTGGATAAGGTTCACAAAATTTTACCCTGTTGCTTTTAGAGCTTCATTGAAATTAGTGTTCCTAAAGTTTCATAGCTTCTTCCGCAGAGTTTTGGTGATGCTGATAAAAAAGGTGATGGTAGGATCGATCAAGATGAGTGGAAAGCATTTGTGATTGAACATCCATCTTTGATAAGGAACATGACTCTACCATATCTAAAGTGGGTATATGCTCAACTGGTGAAACAAACACAAGAATAGTTTTGATGAGTGAGCTTCTTTTCATGCATGTATCCTCTCAATTTTGCAGGGATACAACCTTGGCATTTCCCAGTTTTGTTGCAAGAACAGAAACTGAGGTATGAGGTTTTGGTTTCATTCATGAGGATGCTGTCTTTGATTTCATCTCCTGAGATGGATACTGGTTACTATTAAGGAATTACCTTTCTCATGTTGGTGACAAGAATATCCATTCATTTTCGTCTGTGGCTTCAAAGCAAATCTTCTACACTTGGTTTTGCAGACGCTCAGCCTATCAAGCTACTAACTTGGTATGTGCTGCTATCTAGGATTACATGTGTTCTTCTAATGCAAGGCTTGTACAGTTATATTGTATGTACAAGAGGTATAAGTAGATTTGGAACTATAAAAATTTATAGATTGTCTTTTCTTTTCTTTTTTCTGTCTTTTTCTTTAATTGTGTTTTTTTTCTTCAAATTTTTGTTAAAATAAGTTCATGTTGTCACTCACTTTAATATTAAAATTAAGCTGAAATCTGATTTTTTGTTTTTTTATTTAATATTTTCTAATGTTGCTCGATTATGAATGTGGATGCAAAACCTGTTTTGCTAGCATTCTAAGTTGCATGATAATGTGCAAGAGAAGTTAATGACGTGATAGTTAACATGGATCATAATTTGCAAATAACAAAAAACTTACAGCCAAGGCCAAACCTGACAGATATTTCAAGAAATATAAGTACTATCTTACAGTTTAATCTTAAGAATTGAAGATTACATAAATTCAGAAGAAAATAAAATGTTCAAAATTCAAAGACCTGTCAGCATTGACAAGAGTTGCAATGGTGATCAAAATAGAGGTTTCCTTCCATTTAACATTCCCAACAAATGATCAAGAACTTTGCTCCCATCATCACGCAAGCCAGAATGCATGAACTCATTAGTTATCCATGGCCTAAACCCTGCTATTTGAGAAGCTGTTTCCATGGACAGCTTAAAATTCACGTACAAGTCATCGTAGTAAACGGCAGCAGCAACGGGTACCTATAAGCATTGAATGACATGAGTTAACAGCAGAAAGACTTAAAAGAGACTCGCCTTCATCTTGATTAACATGTTCAATTATTAAGGATGTCCCATAATTCATAAGCAATGCTAGAAATTATATTAGTCACAGAAACCAAGATTCAGGTTTAACTATAACTAATGCCTTTGGTCGCTTTCTCTTTTTTCACACAGTCACACTATACCCTGGAAATAAAGGACATGAAGTAACAAATTCCAATACAGAAGAATTCTTCAAACCAAAAATAATAAATATTCAGTTTTATACTTTTAAAACATGATTTGTTCCTGCTCGAATCAAACATTTGAGTAGTAAATTTTGAAAGTATTCTTAACAAGTTGAGAAGAAAAGTTTTCTTTGATTAGCTTCCACTATAAATCATATCTCGTCATTGGAAAATTCAGATATGGAAAACCTTTCCTTTTGATGGAGGCAGGAGTTAAGACAAAAGTATGACAAGTTAATGATGTTTCTGTACTCAAAATCCATAATGGGTATGTACACATCAAGTGTATATATATGAGGAGTGAAGACATTCGTATATACACACATACACACTCAAACATGCAACCAAGTTAGCAAGAAGGAAATGCTTGAAATGGGCATTTTAAATAAAATATACTTCCTGTTGGTTACTGGATTAAGAGATTCGGTTGCTTGTATTGATATAAACTCCTCCACGGAATGAATGCAGAGTAAACTACCTTGTTGTTTTTCAGAACCTGCACGTCATATAGTGGGGACCAATCCTTCTTCTCTGCCAATATATGAGCTACATCTTTAAATTGTTTCAAGGCGTGAATCTCATCAAACATCCATGGGAAAATCATCTATAAAAGAAAATGAAACATGATAAGCATCCGCTAGAATAAGCAGAAGAATTAATACAAGACATCAAGTACTATCCACAGAAATGTTACTCTGAATAGCATTAACATCATATTAATTAAAGATGCCTTTGTAAAAGGTAAAGAAAAATTAAATTTTTTACACGCTACCTCTCCTGTAAAAAGTACAGGAAGTCCTTCTCTGGCAGCTTTAATAGCATCAAACTTGTCTTCAACTTCAGTCCTTATTCTACTAGCAGACCATCTACTAGGAGAACCCTACAGAGAGAAAGAGAACCAGAGTTGAAGGAAAACCATAGATCAAGCATAAAGAAGGAACCAAAAAGAAGTATACCTGACAATAGATGGACTCGTGAAGAATAGCATAGAGTGGATTAGTATCAAAACTTAACCACTTCTCAAACTGCATACAACGAAAACTGGAGGTTGATCTTGAAAAGGAAACTTGAAATTCAGGATTCAAAATCACAAAAAAGCAAACATTTTCTTACAGAACTTAGGAAGAAGTAATTTAATCTCTTTGGTGCCCCCAGAACTAATGTAGGATCCCACACTCTCTCAAACCTAAAAAGGGTAGTAAAAAACAAAAAAAAACTGAGAGAATAATTTCAGATCAAGATAGTTTTAAAAAACACAAGGTAATAATGCATTACATATAGTGCATGCGTTCAAAACCAGCTCCAGATCCTAAGCCAGAGAGACCAAGAGTCTGCAGCCCTCTTGGGGTTAAGATGCCCCCAGATGGAAGGGACACCTGTGCAAAAAGAGAATAAATAAGGATTTGAGAGACCTTAGCTCATATTTTCGTCTTTTACAACAATAAGAAAAATGTCTCAGACAGACACTCACCCCTCCTCCTTCTTTTTCGGCTAAATAATTAACAAGTTCTTGAACAATTTTAATATCCTGAGGGTATCTCTTGTAGTACTTCTCATTTTGACGTATAACTTGCTCAAAGCCTGCTATGTACACTGAATCTGCAGTACATCCATCTCCAATTGGAGGAATTCCTCCTGTTAAAAGGACTTGCTTCAGTCCTTGTGGTGCAAAACTCAAATACGTTACTGCACAAAATCCACCATAGCTCTGCCACAATTTAAAAAAAAAAAAAAAAAATAGAAGAAGAAGAAGAGTAATCAAGCATGGAATTCCAAGGTTATATTGGGTGCAAAGGCACAAAAGCATTTTAAACCAAATGCAACAAGGCATGAGACGATACTCATAGCAGGACTCAGGAAAATATCCATTTGCAAGTTACAGATTATAAAGCCTGAGTGGTTAGGCATCAAAATCAGTGGCTCATATGAAGACCATGAGAAAACAATAACGTGAATACCTGTCCCAAAATTGTCCAAGGTCCAGCATCTGGAACAATGCGTACTCGAATAAACTCTGCATCGTTTACTATATTATCAGCTCGAAAATGTTTTAAGAAGTCAGCTAATTCATCATCAGACTTGAATTGTGACATTGATGACACAGTCAAGGGACTTGATAACCCTGTTCCTCGCTGCAAAAAGTACATAAGCAATAGAACAGATAAATAATAAATTTGTCACAAGATTAAAAAGATGATGACACTATCGTCTAGCAACTCTTGCCTGATCCATTAAGATGACACGGAACTCTTCACAAGCTTTTTGAATCCATCCACTGGATTCAGTTGGCCGCTGGCACTCAAACCCAGGTCCACCTTGCAAATATAATAAATATGGCAATGTTTGCTCTTCCTTCCCAACTGCAACAAAACTATAGATTTTTGAACAAAAATATGCCAAGGTGATGAAGGGGGGTGATTTACAAGACTAAGCAAGAGTGCTGATCCATCAGGCAATCTATCAAATGATAATTTAGCACACACACACAAAAAATTCTGGATGGCTGATCAAAGACTGATTTTGTTGAATAATGACGAGTTAAAAAACAAAATAACACGAACACAATATTTGAGAAATCTTTAAGCTTTTGGGCATGATGAATGAAATGTTGCTCTAGTTGCCAACATACTGAAGTGTTCAAGTCAACACTAGAACATCGATACGGTTTGCCTTCACCAAAACACAGGACATTCCATCATGAAAAGTATGGTTTGCATCTTACATGGCAACCATGTTCTTCACAGAAACATAACAGTTGTGCCCGTAGGAACCAAATAATTACCCAACGCCAGTATGTAACATATTTTACCAGCAATGTAAAGCTGTCTTCTTTATCCAAAAAACTCATGTCAACTTCCTGCCCTGTCCTCTTCCCAGACACATCATCCCAATCACAAAAGGTTTTACCTCACTTCAATGAAAAGAACTCAAACAATCTCTTTTACTCCAATGATATTTCCCCCCATTCCTTTTGAGGAAAATTGCTAGAAGAAGAGGAATAGTAAGTAAACAAAATGAAAAACACTTAATGGTACCTTAGGGCCTTGTTTTTAATTTCAAAGCTCATGTAATAAAATGACCCAAAAAGTTAAAATGATTTGGGTTCCACACCTTCACCTTTAAAAGATGAAGCAGTACCATGAGACAAAGTAAAACTTATAATATACTCTAAAAAGCCATCCAACACTGCCCGAGAATCCAATACTTTGGACTCTGCCCGGATACCCCTTTGACAAAATATTCAATTCGATTATTCAAAAACTTGAACCTAAATACACCATTGTCAAAAACCCCATCTGGGTTTCATTAGTTACAATCAAAATTTCTTTTTTCTTTTTTCTTTCCCACACAGTCAACAGCACAAGAAAACACACTCTCTCAAACCCAATAATCAACGAGAAAAAAAAAACTGCGTTAACATAATCACGAAACTTCAATACAACGAATGCAATCAAACCAAGAGAAAACGATTGGGATTGACTATGATAACTGTTACCAGCAACAACTTCACGAGCAAAAACGGAGATCTTGGGAGAAGAATGATGGCCCACAGAGTAGTCAAGAGGAACGGTGAACCGGTGATCTCGCAGCCGGAGTTCCGGCACGGAGTGCCACTCGCCGGAGACGTGCTCCGGCGAGGAATGACCGGCGGCGAGGGTTTCTCCGTCCATTGGGAGGAGTGAACTCCGGCGAGAACACGAGATGAAAGGTTTGGCAATAGAAAGAGTTGTTGCGAACTGAGATAAAGCGCGAAAACGATGATGAAGATGATAATGATGAAACAATCTGCTAAAAAACCGTGGTGGTGGAGCGTGAGATAACAACATTGTGTGAGGCGAGTGTAGCTACACGAGGGTAAACGAAAATAAATATTTGAATATTTTGTATTGGAGTAGGGTTATATTGAGAAACTTTATTTTTACATACTTACAAAATACACTATGTCTAATCGGTAATACTAATACTCTACTCAATAGTATATTACCAGTCAGACATAGCGTAATTTATAAGAGTTTATAAACAAAAAGTTTATAAATATAACTTTCTCCTTTGTATAGATAGATAGATTATTTTGATTAAGAAAAAAATAAATTATCTGAGCCGTTTATCATTTTTAGCTTTTACATACGACATTTTTTTTTGTAAAAAAAAGTTTTTAATATGATTTTTATATGTATAAAACAGTAAATGGCGAGAAGAAATTAAAAAAAATTATTATTATTTTTAAGGTGATAATTAAGTGAAACAATCGTATTTTGATGTATATTTATGAATTTTTTACTTCCTCTTTCCTCTTAATTTTGTGGACGAGAAAAAATCTAAAAGACCAATAAATATATATATCATAATGTAGTTGTTTCAATTAAAATGATTTCAAAGTTATGTATTTTAAAATGACAAAAAAAAGTTCTAAAAATAATTATATGCACTGAAACTAAATTAAAAAATTCATATAAAGATTAAATTAAAAATAATTGTAAAGTATAAGAATAAAAATATAAGCAAATTAATATTTAGGACTTTTATTTTTTATTGCAGCTATACACTGTAGAGGCACTCTGCAAAATGCAAAAATTTGTAATGCAATTTAACCAAGAGTGAAAGAACTTCCAAGATTTAGATAAGATTTTAGCCATCAATATAGTCCTCTTTATTTAGTCATAGATAGATATGTATGTCATTAATAAGTATTTACCATGCAATTAAATAATCTTAACACTTTAATTTTTATTCATCATTGAAAAAATTATAAAAAAACGATAATAATTACAAATGAGGGACAATGGATGAATCTAAGAAGCTGAAACTACTTTTCCATATGAAGCCTAGGCACTATTGAAACCCGGTTTGTACCACCTATTCAGGGGAAGTAAGATTGCTATTCAAATTAAAGATGAAGACAAATCCTACACTCTGGGTTTTCATCTGGTTTATTCTCTCACGCATGAAGTAGAACAGTAATGGCGTATCATATCTTATTATATCTAATTTACACGTATTGGTTTATTCTTTATCTTAAGCAGGATGTCATAGAATCCTTTATAGAAGTGTCAACTAGAAAGTAAGCTGAAAACAACATTTCGGCCAGAGTGGAAAAGGAAGATGTAATATTACGTACCTTCATCAAGTTGCAATTATGGGCTTTGTATTTCATGATGAATTTTTTACTCTTATATGATGTTCAGGATTAAGACTTTAAATCCTTCTAAAGGTGGTACTGGGAAGTATCGAACACATATTATATATGATGTTTTAACTTCCATAGGTATGTATGTAGATTTAGATTGAGTTGAAGATGTTAAGATGGTCTTAAATATTACCTGTAGACTGTAGCCATATATATATATATGGAATTTCAAATTGTAGCCATATATTATGGCATATACTAGTTAATCATGATTTGCCTTCTTTTTATGAAATAATTCTTACGGAAAGTATAATTGATTTCTAATTTATAGTTCATGCAGGTGTTAGTTTACCATGATCTGCTTGGTATGCTGCAATACCCCCATCGTGCGAAGGTATTTCCAGAAATTGTTACCTATTTTTTGTATCCTTTATTATAGGATTCTTTGCTAAAGTCAAATATGATCTATATTAGAGCATTGTCTTAAAGCATCTCGCCTCAATGCTTGAAAGTAGATCATACTTGACCTTTGCAAAGAATCCTATAGTAATGATGAAGCACTCTTTGTTGAAATATGTATTAATACTCAATCCAACAAATGGACTTTAGCAAATAGTCTCGGAGCTTCTCGATGTTTAATAATGATGAAGTACTCTTTGTTGAAAAGTAATTCCCACCAAGCTTCTTTTCAAATGGAGTGTTGGATTGAGTAGAACTTCCACATTTATTTCTAAAAGGGAACTAATTGATTCTGATTTATATGCCTAAAATATAAACGAATTTATGCTGTCTAAATATTGTTTCAAATACATCAATGCTTGAAGGATAAGTATCGTTGTTCATGACTTATTGAACAAGTTCAACTACTTGTAAATGTATGGGCGCACAATGGTCCAACGCTGTCACTTGGTTTACAATTTGTAAAATGCTTTGTGAGCAATCAACTTGTTAACATTTCCCCCCTTATAGGCTCCTCAAAAAGTTCTTGCTTTAATTACATCATCAAATTCGACTCAGTCATTTCCCTTTCCTTCCAATTGTATGGAATAAATCATCTTCTATGGTTAATAATAGCAGATTCAAAAATCTCTTTTAAGATAAATCATGTTATTTATCCTTATTGTGAAAGATAATATATACTTCTTTTACTTACCTTTTTTATTTTCATTTTCCAGCTAAGACAAGTTTAACAAATTGACCCATTCATTCCACAAGGCATGAGATGCATTGTTCTTTACTTGTTTATTTGGAGCCAAGCAAATGGCACAAAACCAATTGGTGAGCCTAACGTGTCAACCTCAAGCTAACGTGGCCCTTCTTTGTAAGGCATGGGGCAGACGTAAAATGCTTTGATAGCATTTGATAAATCAAAATGCATACGCTTGATGGAATCTAATTCGCTGATTACCTTAACCCCTCGTGTCCCCAAAAAGGGTTCACTACTATTGGTGGTCATGAATAGTACTATGAGAATAAATACCCAACAAGCAACAACTACGAACCCATAAGGTTATGGTCACACAAAATTAATCATTGCCAAGAAAAGAAAAGAAAAAAAGTCAACTCAAAAGTGCTTTGGTAATTTATATATCACAACCAATGCTGTATACAATGAACTAAAACACTAACACACTAATATCTTAATAGCTGCTGAAATAAATTGATTTTACATTAACAGAACTATGAAACCATGAATGCCTAATAATCATTGATTTTTAAACAAGAGATAAAAATGCTCAATCTACCTAACTAGTTGCTACTGTCCTTGGGAAGAACTTTTCTTCCCCTTCACAAGAGCATTGTCAGTAAAGATTCCTCCAAAATGTTCCATTTGCATATACAAACAAAAAGAAGAAAGAAAAAAAAGGGGGGCTTCCTATTCTCAGCAATGAAAAAGCATGAAACAAATTGTTCACTTTGTTGTGTGATGTTTTCCCCCAAATGAGTCAGCTACCGCTAGCAGCAGTGGCAGCACTATTAGCCACCCAAGAAGGTATTGCAATAGCTGAAAAGGGATCAGTGAAGCAGTCTCCAGTGACTGCAGAAGAGGCATTGAGTTGACTCAGTTCATCTAAACTTTCAAAGAAATCATCTGTTAGAACCATATCAGATAAACCAAATTCATCTTCTTCCTCATCATCCATCACATCTTCCTTCTCTTCCCTGCTCTCTGACTTTTCTCCCTGAGTTGGAACCTCATCCTCCGCCCCTGAGGTCGCCGGAGAAGAGGGTTTTGTCAAGGCCTTGTCAGAGTCTCCGTTGGTGGCAGTTTGAGGTGTCAATGGCTTCTGGCGTGTGGATCCAGCAAGAGAGTTTCGGTGAGTAGGAGCAGGGTGGTTATGTTCAGCTGTATAGGTAACTATGAACATTGTTGGGTCTGATCTGTTTCTCTCAACTTGTTTCCTTGCTAAGCATCCTTTTGAACTGCTACATCTATAGTATCCTCTACAAATCACAAAACAAGAAAAGCTCAATTAGGCCATAAAAAGTACATAACTTTAACTTCTTCTTTTTTGCTTTGTTCTTTGGAAAATTGCAAATGAAAAAAAAAAAAAAAAAAAAAAACTTGGAGGCTCTCTCTCACCTTGGATATGGTGACCCTTTAATTGGTTTTTGTCCATATTTCCTCCATGCCCATATATCTGATGAGAGATTCTCAACTGGCACTTGACAAACTTTCTTAAGCTGGTTCTTCCTGTAAAAGAACAAAATATACATTTCAGACAAACTATGAACCAAAGACTTGATTTTTATGAGTTGGGTCAATTCAAGTTCTTTTTTTTTTTTTTTGGGATCAAAATCAAGTTCAATTTTTTACCTTCTTTTAGATCGTGGGGTGGTGAGAGAACCAGCTGAGTGTGGCTGCTTATTCCGCTGCTGTTGTTGTTTCTCTTGTGTTTGAGCTGATTTGGGTGTTGTTACAGAGGAGTAAGACAATGAGGACAAGTTAGGAATTTGCAATGAGAGAGACTGTGATTTGGTGAAGAAAGGCTTGCAAAGCTCATGCAACTCTTCAATGGAGCTTCTTGCTTCAAAGGGGTGTGCAGAAAGTGACAAAACTTGGCTTGCTTGTTCACCATCAAAGATAGAGAACCCACAAGAGGAAGCTTCAGGCTGCAAGTAACAAGTGCCAAAACCAGAGGAAGACACAGAGAATGATGCGGTAGTGCTGGTGGTGGTGGAGTTGGTGGAGGTAACGGTGGAGCAGCCTCTAACCACCGCATGGAGATCCCAATCTTCCTCCATAACCGTAGAGACAAACTCTGCAATCTCTGTACCTTGTGCTGCTGAGAGAGAGAGAGAGAGAGAGACAAAAGAAGGCGCTGACTTTTGGTAAGGTAAGAGAGAGATGATAAGGTTCAATGAGTGGGAATAGACTTGTATATATAGATAGAGAAAAAGTGTTCGTTTTCACAAAGTCCCAGTGAGAGAGAGAAAAAAAAAAGTATAGCTTTTTTTAAGAGAGAGAAAGAGTGGTTGGCATTTTGGCATCTCTATGCTTATCGCTTTGTTTTTCTTGTGGGTCTCTTTCTTTTTTTCTTTTTTTCTCGTTTTTCACCCCACATTGGAAGACATGACATGTTTTGGTGTTTTGGGGGTTGACTTACAAAAATGTCAAAGGGGGTGACACTAGGCTCTTGATTTATGGGGGAGGGAGAAAAAGTCCCCACGCACTTTATGAGGGCCTTAGGCTTTGAGAGTTATGCCGACAAAATAAAAATTATAAAATAATGGCAGAAGTACAGTGATGGATCATTCATAGGTACGGGTGAAACTGGGCCGGATCAGTTTATAGGAGCCTACGACTTAGCTTACGTCAGGTTAGATCCTGACTAATATATTTCGTAAAATAAGTTGAGTTTGGGTCTTGAAAAAACTTATTTAATAAAAAGGTCGTAGGCTCACTTTCACAAGGTTTGGCCTATAACCCTACAAGCCGGCCTATTTTGTACTATTTATTTTAAATAAAATAAAATAGAATAAGTATGTCTCGAAGAAAAAACAAAAAATATAAATTTAATCAATTGCATTTATTTATAACTTAATTATATTCGATTATATTTTAATAGAAATCTGACTTTATTTCTTATGTAGGAGGAGCCAACATCTCAACATGTTAGATTGTGAATATGAATATATTAAAAGGTTTTGGGAGAGATTATACTTACTACAAGCATGTGTTTGTTGGATTCATGTAGTTATTTTAATTTACATAGTATGGGTTTGTTTGTTGGATCTGATGAAATATATATTATTTAGTTTCAGCATTTTGCTTTTGAAAGTAACTTAAATGCAGATTTTATGAGTTTTGTTGTGATTCATGATTCTGTTTGGACATTGAAATTATGATTTTTGGTTTAACAATAGAATTAGAGTATTTTGTAAAGTTAATTCATGATTCTGCTTCGAAATAAAAAATTAACAGGCTAACAAGGTAGGACAGGTCATTCGTTTTTTTATAAACGGATAAAGCCAGGTTAACAGTTAGACTCATACTAGGCTTGGACCAGGTGAACTTGAAATTTTTTGGTGTAGTAGGCTTAGGCTTTTCGGGACAAAACTTGACCCAGCTCAGCTCACTTTCACCCCTATTCATAAGTATTAAAATTGGGTTTAGTTTTTATGATGTAGGAGATAATTTTATTTTTTATACACTTAAAAATATAAAAATTTATATTTTATTTTATTTTTTTATATGGTTTGATATGAGGTCCACATATATATATATATATATTGTAATAAAACTCCACATACTGTACTTTTATACTCCACATACTTTACTTTTATATATACAGAAGATAAAATTATTACTTAGAAACATTAAACCAATTAAAACTTGCAGATTTATTTTTGCTTTATCCGAGGTCGGAGGAGACGAAGATTTTAACTCAACTTTACAACAACTTGTGTGCTTCGTAAGTTCGAGGAAAGATCATTTTAAATTGGATATATAATTGACTATTTAATGAGTTAAACTATTGGCATGGGAGTATTTTTATTTAAGCAAAATCAAAAGGAATTCCGTTGTAACAGTGAGCATAGCTCAAGTTATTTACCAAAAAAAAAAAAGAGCATAGCTCAAGTAAAATGTATTCCTTTATCTAAAATACTAAAAAATGGTGATATCAAAAAAAAATAAAATAAAAATAGAAAAAGGGATTCATGTGTAATTAACCAGAAAAGAAAGGTAAGCTAAATGGCGTACTCGATATTAGGGAAAATATTTTCGGAGAGTACCGTATCAGCTCCTCAAAGCTAGTATCATTGTCCTTGGCTAGTTGAGTCACCCTTTCACATTCAGTGCTCTCAGCATGATCATTATATACCATGCAATTTTGCCTATTATTTCTAATTAACACTAAGTGTGTGTTTGGATATTCTTTTTTTTAAGCTAAAAATTACTTATAAGCATAAATTAAATCAATAGATTTTGAGAAAAACTTTTATAATGAATTTATTTTTTTATAATGAAAAAAAAATTAAAAGCTCCTAGGAGGAGTTAAGAGCTTTTTTAAAAACTCTTATATGCTTTTCTTGAATTGTGTGTTTTTTTAAAAAAATGAAGAGCTATAGAGATAAATAGACAGATAATTTTCTTGAAATATATGTTTTTAACTAACTTTTAACCTAAAAAGTTTATGTAATTGCCAAACAGCTTTTAGCTTTAGCATATAAGTAGCTTATACCTTAAAAAAGAGAGGATCCAAACAGACTCTAAGTTTATCATATATAAGTATCACTAATGATATCGAGAAATACACATGTGAATGAATTCTTATCAGGATCCTCCTCTCATCAATCAATACATCATATTCTCTCTTCAAGTAAAGTGCATATACCAGAACAATTTGGAATATTGGGCTTGAGAAATATGAAATCTGTTAATAAGGCACTCTTGATAAAAGTGGGGCATAGGTTCTTAACCAAAAAAAGGCGTGATTTGGTAAAGGTTTTGAGTAACTAAAAGTATAGAATAGGATTAGACCTTTATTTCTCGCAATATCGAAGGGATGAATGAATTGCTTTTATTCTGATAAAACTGATAAAATGAAAAGTGAAGTGTAAAGTACAAAGTGTCACCCTATATATACTAGGCACATAAGCTAAAATTGAAAGTAAAAGGCCTATATAGCATAGCTAACAAAAATAACAAAATTACAAGTTTCTAACTTACTACAACTAACACTGACAACAAAAAACTAACAAGTTAAACAATTACAAATAAAATATCACATGTATAAATATATCCATAATAACCCCCTTCAAGTTGGAAGGTGGATGTCATGCAACCACAACTTGGACATGAACTCGGGGAAAGAAGCAGGATGAAGGAGCTTAGTGAATGCATCAGCAAGTTGCTGAGTGGTGGAAACAGGTAACAAAAGAAGCAAGCCCGCAACTATCTTCTCTCTAGTCACATGGAAATCAAGCTTAATGTTCTTGCTTTGTTCATGGAATGATGGGTTGTGTGCGAGATGAATGGCGGCCTGATTATCGCAGTACACATTTGCTGGTTGAGCAAAGGGAACTTGAAGATCATGGAGCATAAAAGTTAACCATTGCAACTCGCATGCAATAGTAGCCAAAGCGCAATATTCTACCTCAGTTGAAGAGCAAGATACCATGTTTTGCTTCTTTGATTTCCATGAGATGAGAGCATCACCGGGAAATACGCAGTAGCCTGTTGTAGACTTGCGGGTGTCTGGACATGTTGCCCAGTCTACATTCGCAAATGTTGATAATGTCAACGAGTTCTTGGTAGGAAATAAGAGACCTTAGCTAGTGTAGTCTTTAGGTAAAGCAAAACTCTACATGTTGCAGCATAGTGATCCTTCATAGGATTGGCTACAAACTGGTTTAGTTGTTGCACAACAAAGTTGATGTTCGATCTGATGTTTGTCAAATACAATATGCATATCACCAAACGATGATAGGCTCTAGAATCCTCAAAGGGCTCACCTTGAGCTTGTCTTAGACACAATAAAGGTTCTACGGGAGAGGATGCAGGCATTGCACCAAGTAAGCCATTTTCAGAAAGTAATTCTAAGACATATTTTCTTTGGTTTAGCACCAAACCATGCTTAGATCAAGCTATCTCCATCCCAAGGAAGAAATGAAGAGGACTAAGGTCTTTAATATGAAACATGTCATCCAAGTGTCGCTTCACCGTCTTAATCTCTTCAATATTGTTTCCTGCGAGTACCATGTCATCCATGTATACAAGGAGACAAGTGAAAGAATTATCTGCAACCTTAGTGAAAAAAGAATGATCCGCACTAGATTGGTAGTAACCAAGTCGTCAAAGCTCCAATGTAAGCCTTGTATTCCACTGATGACTAGCTTGTTTGAGGTTGTATAAAGACTTTTTAAGCTTGCAAACTTGTCGTGGATTATCAGAAGTAACCCTTTCAGGAATGGTCATGTAGACTTCCTCAGATAAATTCCCGTGAAGCAACGCATTATTAATATCAACTTGCTCAATGAACCATTCTCTAGCCACTTCCACCGCAAGCAACAAACGAATGGTTGTGATTTTAACCACTAGGGAGAAGGTTTAAAAAAAGTAATCAACACCCTTCATTTGATTGTATCCAATAGTAACGAGGTGAACTTTGTAATAAGCAATGGAACCATCAGGATTATATTTTATTTTATGTACTCATTTTCAGCCAATGGGTTGCATGCCATCAGGGAGATCAACGAGAGTCTAGGTCTTATTTCTAACAAGGGCTTCAAGCTCTTTATTCATAGCTGAAACCCACTTGGGGGACTGCACTACTTGACTATAAGAACATGGCTCAACAAAAGAGAAAAGATTGTGACAAAAAGAAGCATATGAAGCTGAACAACGATTATATGAAGGAACTGAATAAATAAGGCTGGTTCAATCTTTTGGACATAAGACAAACTTTCAAAAGAGTGAGGTATGTGATCAGTGGCTCTTGTGTTAAGGATTCATTGTATGAGTGTATTATCTGTAGATGCATTACCACGATCAGCATTAGAGACTTTAGCCTCGGTGTTAAGTGCCTTAACCTTCACTATATTGCTCATATGAGGTGGAGCTGACTGATTCTACATGGACTGCTGGATCATCTCAAGTATGGTGTCATATTGGCTTTGTGTAAAACTATCATTGGATTCTTGTTTAGGAATAACAATAATAGCATTCTGGTCCACAACACAATTGAGAATTTCTTGCACAACAACATTGGCAACAATCTTTTATCCACTTTTCATCTTAGAACTCGGTGGATATCCATGCTTTTCAAAACATGTGTCAGCTGTGTGACTAGTCTTGCCTCAATGCATACATAGCCTATGAACACTAGATCTTCCACATCCAAGAAAATTACCACGTCCTCTTCCTCGGGTATTAAAGCATCCTCTTGCAGATGAACTTTCTGTATAATTAAAAAACACTTTAG